GCTCCCTACCAGCTCCCCACCCAGGCCCCCATCCATCCTGCTCCAAGGAGAAGAAAACCACTAGGACCCTTTAAAAAACAAACACTTTATTGAACAGTTAAGATCACAGCGGCTCAATGTGAGCGAGTTCTCGGCTCCTGGTCTGGGTGCGAGGCGCTGCCCATACAGCCTGGGCCCGGCCCCACAGCTGCTCTGCAGCCTCTCCCCGGTGCCCACAGGCACCCGCGCCCGGGCCTGCAGGAGGGGCCTGAGCCAGACGCTGGGAGCCAGGCACACGACCAGACAGCAACAGGCACAAAACCACAACGCTACACACACACACACGGGCTCAACCCCGGGAGGGGCCCCTGCACAAAGGGTCACCCCACCCCCATCCCACTGGCAGGTGAGAGGTCCCTTCACAGAGTGTCAAAACCCTCCCCCCCCAGTTCCAGGGCTGGGTGAGGGGCCCCTGCACAGAGGGTCAGCCCCACCACTCCCCATAGTTGGGTGAGAGGCCCCTGCACAGGTCGCCCCCCCCCAACCCCCACCGCTAGGCTCACAGGCTGCGTGAAGGGGACAGCTGAAGGGGCTAGCCACAGCTCGCCCAGCCAGCCAGCCAGCCTCCCCGCACCCCGTGGGGGACAGATGGGGGGGCCCATGGGCCGGGAGCTGGCAGGCCGCATGATGCACTGAGCAGCTAGAGGCGGGACCCTGGCTGGGCTGCTGGGGTCTCCTCCCAGGCCTGGTGACCCCCGGGAGGCGCTGCAGCAGGCTCGCCTGGAGGCAGCTCCCCGTGCAGGGCCCCGGCTGGGCGGGCAGCGGGTGGGTGGCTACTGTTCCTGCAGGAGGCCGTGCTCGGCAGGGCTGGCGCTGGGGCTCTCCGGCCTGTCCCCGTACATGGCGCTGAACTGGGCCCGGCACTCCTGGAGCAGCTTGTGGCCCACGGGGGAGGTGAGCCCCACCAGGCAGTGCGCCCGCACGATGCCCGACTGGCCCCCCGACACCAGCCAGCCGTGAGAGTCCAGGTTGGGGCTGAAGCGAACCTGCCGGGAGAGGAGAGTCAGGCAGGGCCGGCGAGGGGGTCACCAGCTGTCGCAGCAGCAGGTCTCAGCAGGACAGGGGGTCACAGCTCATAGACTCATAGACTCATAGACTTAAAGGTCAGAAGGGACCATTATGGTCATCTAGTCTGACCTCCCGCATGATGCAGGCCACAAAAGCTGACCCCCTCACTTTCCCTTATCTCAGCTGTTGAAGTCTCCAGATCATGATTTAAAGACTTCAAGTCGCAGAGAATCCTCCAGCTTGCGACCCCTGCCCCATGCTGCGGAGGAAGGCGAAAAACCTCCAGGGCCTCTGCCAATCTACCCTGGAGGAAAATTCCTTCCCGACCCCAAATATGGCGATCAATAAAACCCCGAGCATACAGGCAAGATTCTCTAGCCAGACCCACATTTTACCAGCGATGGCACTTTATTACCTAATTGACTAAAATCACGTTATCTCATCAAACCATTCCCTCCATAAACTTATCTAGCCTAATCTTGAAGCCAGAGAGGTCTTTCGCCCCCACCGTTTCCCTCGGGAGGCTGTTCCAAATTTCACCCCTCTGACGGTTAGAAACCTTCGTCTAATTTCAAGCCTAAACTTCCCCACGGCCAGTTTATATCCATTCGTTCTCGTGTCCACATTAGTACTGAGCTGAAATAATTCCTCTCCCTCCCTGGTATTTATCCCTCTGATATATTTAAAGAGAGCAATCATATCCTCCCTCAGCCTTCTTTTGGTTAGGCTAAACAAACCGAGCTCCTCGAGTCTCCTTTCATAGGAAAGGTTTTCCATTCCTCGGATCATCCTAGTGGCCCTTCTCTGTACCCGTTCCAGTTTGAGTTCATCCTTTTTAAACATGGGAGACCAGAACTGCACGCAGTACTCCAAATGAGGTCTCACCAGCGCCTTGTATAACGGAAGCAGCACCTCCTTGCCCCTACTAGAAATACCTCACCTAATGCATCCCAAGATCGCATTAGCTTTTTTAACAGCCACGTCACATTGCCGGCTCATAGTCATCCTGCGATCAACCAGGACTCCGAGGTCCTTCTCCTCCTCCATCACTTCCAACCTATGCGTCCCCAGCTTATAACTAAAATTCTTGTTAGTCATCCCTAAATGCATCACCTTACCCTTCTCACTATTAAATCTCATCCTATTATTATTACTCCAATTTACAAGGTCATCTAAGTCTCCCTGCAGAATATCCCGATCCTTCTCCGAATTAGCAATACCTCCCAACTTTGTGTCATCCGCAAACTTTATCAGCCCACTCCTACATTCGGTTCCGAGGTCAGTAATAAATAGATTAAATAAAATCGGACCCAAAACCGAACCTTGAGGAACCCCACTGGTGACCTCCCTCCAACCTGACAGTTCTCCTTTCAGTACTACCCGCTGCAGTCTCCCCTTTAACCAGTTCTTTATCCACCTCTGGATTTTCATATCGATCCCCATCTTTTCTAGTTTAACCAATAATTCCTCATGCGGTACCGTATCAAACGCTTTACTAAAATCGAGGTATATTAGATCCACCGCATTCCCTTTATCTAGAAGGTCTGTTACTTTCTCAAAGAAGGAGATCAGGTTGGTTTGGCACGATCTACCTTTCGTAAACCCATGTTGTAATTTGTCCCAATTACCATTCACCTCAAGGCCCTTACCTACTTTCTCCTTCAAAATTTTTTCCAGACCTTGCATACTACAGATGTTAAACTAACAGGCCTGTAATTACCCGGGTCACTTTTTGTCCCCTTCTTGAAAATAGGAACCATGTTAGCTATTTTCCAGTCCAACGGTACCACCCCCGAGTTTACAGATTCATTAAAAATTATCGCTAAGGGGCTTGCAATTTCTCGCGCCACTTCCTTCAATATTCTAGGATGAAGATCATCCGGTCCGCCCGATTTGGTCCCGTTTAGCTGCTGAAGTTTAGCTTCCACCTCTAATACTGTAATGTCATTCCCTCCTTCTTTATTCCCCTCTGTCCTGCTCCCTCTATTCCTAAGCCCTTCATTAGCCTTATTAAAGACTGATGCAAAATATTCATTTAGATATTGTGCCATGCGTAGATTATCCTTAATCTCCACTCCATCTACATTCTTCAGCGGTCCCACTTTCTCTTTCTTTGTTTTCTTCCTATTTATATGGCTATAAAACCTCTTACTATTTGATTTAATTCCCCTCGCAAGGTCCAACTCTACACGGCTTTTGGCCTTTCTCACTGCATCCCTACATGCTCGGACCTCAATAAGGTAGGTTTCCTTGCTGATCCCTCCCCTCTTCCATTCTTTGTACGCTTTCTGTTTTTTCTTAATCGCCCCTTTGAGACGCCCACTCATCCAGCTAGGTCTAAATCTCCTGCCTACTAACCGTTTTCCCTTTCTCGGGATACAGGCCTCGGACAGCTCATGCAACTTCAATTTGAAATAATTCCAGGCGTCATCTGCCTCATCCTGCCGACTGTGAGGGGCTGCTCACAGGAGCTCCCTGCCGCCCCCCGCCCTATGAGATAGACAGGCCTGCTGCATGGCTGCCTCCCGCGGGCTGCCCCCTGCCGCATGTCCTGGGGCCCCCTGTGCTGCCCTTGGCCCTGCCCCAGCTGGGGGGGGGGAAGGGGGGGCTCAACAGCCCAGAGGCCAGTGGCTTCAGGTCTCCTGCCCCCTTCCCAGCCCTGCCCCACATACTCTGCATCTCCACCTCGCACTGTGGACCGGCTCTGAGAGGAGGGAGGGCAGGCAGCGGGTGGCAAGGGCTAGCCCAGCGCCCCGCAAGGGGCTCCAGCTGCAGCCTGGGGGGATTCTACCTGGGCTGAGCCAGGTCCCGCCCCCAAGCCCCCTGGGGTCCAGCCCTGCCCCCCAGCACTCTCCCCACTGCGAGGCTCTAGGAGACAGTGCAGGGAGAGCACATGGAGATCCTGCTGGGACTGGCACGGGGGGGTGAAGGGGGACCGGTGGGGGGCCGGGCCCCTCCAGCACAGCAGGAGTGAAGGGGGACCGGTGGGGGGCCAGGCCCCTCCAGCATGGCGGGGGGAGCAGCGACCCGGCTTACCGGGAGAGTTCTTCCCGGCACAGGGCTGCGGCCGGCGCTCACCTTGTGGATGGACTCCAGCTGCATACGGTCCAGGCTCAGCTCGGCCTTCACCTCCTGCTCGTGCATCCTGCGCATGGGCTCCCGGCTGAAGAAGTTTCGGAAGCTGCGCTGGGGGGCAGGGTACAGAGTGAGCAGGACGCTGGGGCAGGCCCGCGGGTGAGGGGGCGGGTCCGGGGGCGAGGGGGCAGGCTTGTGGGCGAGGGGGCGGGGGGCAGGCTTGTGGGCGAAGGGGCGGGGGGCAAGCTTGCGGGCGAGGGGGCAGGTGAGGGGGCGAGCTTGCGGGCGAGCGGCAGGCCGTAGGCCATGCGGCCTTGTGGGTAGTGCTCTGCACTGGCTCTCAGCAGAGCTGGATTCCGCTTGCAACTCTGCGGGGCCTGGTGACCCCAGCTTCCCCGTCTGCACAGAGGCACCCCCCCACACACACACACACAGGAGGGGGAGGGGAGCAGAGAGCCCCCCCACACACACACACAGGAGGCGGAGGGGAGCAGAGACCCCCCCACACACACACAGGAGGGGAGCAGAGACCTCCGCACACACACACACACAGGAGGGGGAGGGGAGCAGAGACCCCCCCCCCCACACAGGCGAGGGGCAGAGACCTCCGCACACACACACACACACGAGGGCGGAGACAACAGGGCTGCCTGTACCAGGTCCGTGTCCTGGAATCGGAGGCAGTGCTCCTTCGTCATCTCGCTGTACGTCCTGCTCTTCGGCCTCGGCTCCTCCTCGCCTCCCGCAGAGCTGCAGGGCACCAGATCCGCTTTGTAGATAGGCTGGGGGAGGAGACAGTACTGAGGGCAGGGCCACGCTGCTCCCAGTCCCAGGGACTTGGCTGGGGCCGGCTGTCCCCCAGGGGAGCAGGGCCTGGGATGACGATGGGGCCTCGCTGTGGCTCCTGTCCGGGGCCGAACCAAGGGCCAAGGACGGTGCTGACAGAGCTGGGGTGCCGGAAGGTAGTGAGCGAAAATGGGTCAGTCAGACACTGGGCACAGTAACGGGGGGCCGGGCTGCTCCCCTGAGCGCTGTGGGGCTGGCGAAGGAAGAGCCATGGGGAACCAGAACAGCTGTAGGAATGGGGGAGGCTACGGGAGCATGCGGCACCGGGCCCTCGTCCCGATGCTGAGAGGTTCCTGACCAGGGCAGCCAGAGCGGGGCCGAGAGGACACTGCCCTCCTGGCCCCGCACCATGGCAGCTCTGGCTCGGAGACCGGCCAAGGGACTGTCTTACCGGGGCTTTCCCTTCCCACCCTCGCCAAGGGCCAGGAGAGGCTGGTACAATTAGAGCCTTAGGAAGATTTCCTTGTCACTGGGGCCCACCAGCTGTTCCTTAATCAGGGGTTGTTATGGGCAGGGCCATGGACACCACAGGCCGAGGCCTCAGGTCAGGGCTGGACGGGGGCCAGGTGTGACGAAGTGGGGGGTTTTCTTGTTTTCTGTGGGGTTTCAATGGTTTGCATGCAGAGGGGGTGGGACTCGGTTTCCCTGGGTGTTACTGGTTTAACGAGGTGAGGGGAGAGGGAGTGTGTTTTGCAGAGGACCGGAGAGAGGACGCGGGGACCCATCCGGTGGCCGGGAGGATGGATACCCCAGCGACCGGTGACCTGGCGACCTGGTGACCCAGAGGCCCAGCTGAGGAGACGCAGCCGGTTCTGGCCAGTGGGAGGACAATGGGCTGCAGAGTGAGGACCCAGTGACCTAACCAGCCGGTTCCAGCCAGAGGGAGAAGCAGGAGCGGAGGCCCCGGTTTACGACCCTGTTTACCTGAAGAGGAGACAATGGACAGAGGCGGGGCCTGGGGCCAGTGATCTGAGATGCCCAGCTGGGAGCAGGGGGGCTCGGGGCTGGAGAGGGGGAGCAGGCAGAGCCCACCTGGAGGCAGAGAGACTGGGATGTGCTGGGCTGAGGGAGGCCAGGCCTGAGGGTCAGAGAGGTTCCTGTGCTGTGTTCAACTCTCAATAAACCCTTCTGTTTCATGCTGGCTGAGAGTCACTCCGGTCTAGAGAACAGGGTTGCATCAACCCCTTCGGGGGTGGAGGCCCCGGGGGTCCAGAGCGAGTGGACTCCCTGAGGGGGCCCACGGCAGAGACAGACGGGCTAAGGCTCAGAGAGGTGCGGATCCAGGAGGTGGAGGGGCCGGACCCCGAGAGAGAGTGGACCCCCGAGAAGGGCTGTCTCACTAAAAGGGGCACCCCCCACGGACCGCACGGGGCCAAGAGTGGGCACGATCTGTGAGTCCGTGACACCAGGTCACGTTAACACGTCTGTCCCCTTTATTCCCTCAGCCACCACAGCCCTCCACCCAGCCCCCCTTGCTCCCAGGGACAGGACTTGCCTTGTGCCCCACGGTCTTCCCAGCAGCTCACCCCCCCACAACCCCTCCATCCCACTCGCCCCAGCCCCATGGACCCATCCTGCCAAACCACTTGCCTACCCAACTCTATGGTCCCCCCGCCCCGTTCAGCCCTTGAGCCCCCTGGCCCCCACCCCCCTCGCATGCCATTCCCCCCAGAGCCGTGTCCTCAGCCCACTGGGCTGCTCCCCCAAGGAGAGAGACTTACAAATCTGCGCTCCGAGGGCCGCTTGATGTTGAGCGGGTTCATGGCCAGGTCGGGCAGCACCGCCGCCAGCAGCTCCCCAGTGATGTCCCCGGCCGCCACAGCGTTCAGCCAGTCGGAGCTGGAGATGCTCTGCCCAGGGAGAGGGGAGCAAAGCTGTCAGTGCAGGCCCCGCTCCGAGACAGAGGTGCCCCGGCAGGCCCCAGCCACCAGTCAGAGAGGTGCCCATGTGGCAGGGCTGGGATGTCCCTGGCGGGCCAGGAAAGGGGAACGGGAAACCCCACGGGCAGCAGGGCCCCGGCTCCACCCTGCCACAGGTTTGGACCAAGTGGGCGATGTGGGAGCCAGGGGCCCTGCTCCAGGCAGCACAGCGTGTCCCCGAGAGCCAAACCCAGCAGAGCGCAGGAGCCAGCAGCCCGCCAAGGGCTATGGGGCACAGCTGGCCCCAAGCACCCCAGGACCCTGACCCCTCCCCCCACCAGCTCTTACCCACACAGTCCCCTTGCGCGGGGCCACAAAATAGGCCTTGAAGCCCAGGTAGCCGGCGTCAATATAGTGGATTCCACACAGTCCGTACCTGCAAGAGAGAGCGAGTGAGAGCCCAGTGCTGGCAGGTTGCCCCCTCCCCAGGGGCCAGGCAATGCAGGGATCCCAGCAGGCCCAGCCCAGGGGAGGAGCCAGGCTCCCGCCACGGCACGGGAAGGGTCACTCACGAGGCGTAGCAGTTGTCCTGGGCCACAGTGACACCATTGTAGGGCAGCAGCCAGGTGATCTCGGTGGTCAGGAAACGCTTGATGCTGTTGATGGGCTCATAGAGCCGCCGCAGGTCCCAGAACTTGATCTTCCGGTCATTCCCCGCCGTAACCAGAAAGTTGCTGAGAGCCAGAAGAGGAGCAGCGCTCAGAGCCCCACGCCCCCACACCCCAAGAGCCCTGGGCCCCCTCCCCATCCCCCCGGGAGCCAGCACCTCAGGGCCAGCTCAAACGCCTGGCCCACACACCCTCCCCCACAGGTAACCGGGCAAGCAACACACCGTGGGGTAGGGCCTTTCCTAGCCAGGCTGGGCCCCTCCCTGGCAGGCACTAGCTGCCCCCGCCCGGCCCACCGCTCACCTGTTGACTTTGCACCACTCGATGCTCCTGACGGCATGGTCGTGGGCAAGGAAGCACCTGAAGGGGTAGAGCTTGAGGGAGCCATCGGGCTGGCGCACACGCTGCAGCAGGGACTTGGTGGGCAGGTTCCAGATGGCCACGGTGCCTAGGGGAACACACCGAGATGCCCGTGAGCCCAGCACCGGCAGCCCACAGAGCTGGGGAGCGCCCCCCTGCCACGGGGCAGCATCGGGGTTAGGGGGTCTGTGGGAATTGTCTGATTTCTATGAGCTATCTTTATGACTCTGTACAGATCTGCTTGGCACTGCTGCTGTGATGCTGACAGACCAGGTGCCAACTCATGCCAAGGCCCCGAGATCTCGCCTGAACACTGACCAATAGACAGCCGGAACCCGCCCGACTCCCCTGCGCTAGTGCTGCTAACACGGGGGTAAGTTTATACCAAAGTGTTCTGACTTTGAGATGCCTGCAGGATGCTCCTCTCCCGTCGGACATCTGTGCCCCACGGGACAAGGTGGTAGTAGAGAGTTGCATTGCAAACACTTAACGGTGCAAGCCATCACCCAAGAAAGCAGCATTAATTCATGGAAAACGCTGGCTTCCTACAGAAGGCCCTGTCCTGTCCACCAAGGCAGTCCATTGAGCACTGTGAACTCTCCAAGAACAAAGCCTTTGTTAACTGCCTCCCCCAGCCCCACGAAGGAGACGCCAGACCTCCTGGCCTCACCTTGAGCTCTGGGGGAAGGGGATAAAAATCCCCGACAAGAAGAAACTCTCTCTCCGTGCTGCTTGGACTTTGCGAGGGCAACACGCAAGGGTTCCCCTGCTGCTCGGCCTGGGCTTGCCCTACAGGACGTAGAGAGCTTGCTTGTTACAGCAGCTTCTACCACCTTTTGAGACCCTGCTTTAACTTTGTAAATAACCCTCCTTGCTTCTTCTTAGCGACCCTAAATCTTCAGTTAATGACAGGATTGGCTACAAGCGTCTTTGGTGTGGGATCGAAGCCTGGGGTAAGTGACTGGTGCTTTGGGGCTGGGAGTAACCTGACTATTGGTGTGATTTTTGGTAAGAGCTTGCGAGGGTGGCAAGATGGAGCGGAGGGCCCCAGGCACTGGCTGTGACTCCGTGCTGAAGCTGGGATTGTGCCTGAGGAGGTCACACTGATAATGGGTAGGTGAAATGGAAGCACAGAACTCCCAGCCAGTGTGGGGCGAGTGCCCTGGAGCCACCCCAGACAGCCACACAAGGGGGGGGGAGGGGCAGGGCAGAGAGACTGATTTTCTCCTGAGGCCCTGGCCCATCAGCTGGGGGATTTGAGACTCAGCTGCCAGGACCCACCCACTGGCACGGCCGGCCCTGCAGTGCCCAAGGGAACCCGCTGAGCGCAGAGCCACACTCAGCTGTGGCAGCTGAGCACATGACCACAGCATGGCTGGGTGTGGAGAAGACAGACAAGAACTGTCTGGTGGCTGTGTTGAGCTCTGGCTCTCAGAGACAGCACACACACCTCAGACGACTGACAGAGAGCGCCAAGACAGCAAGCCCTGGCCTGGCATTGGCCGGGCTGCACCACAGCTCCACCTTGGCCTCTCAGAGCTAGGGGCTGGCAGACGCTGTAGCCAGGTGGCTGATCCACGGTTCCCGTTTGGCCAGGCGGCCAGTGCCACTGCAGTTCCGCCCCAGGAGTGTTGCACCTGGATGGGACACAGGACAAGCCTCCTGCAGGGGCCTGGCTGGGCTGGACTCGCTGCAGGAGCCGCACAGACAAGAACTAGATAATCTATTATCTTTGAAAACTCCTGGCGATTGGGGGAGGTCCCGGATGACTGGAAAAAGGCTAATGTAGTGCCCATCTTTAAAAAAGGGAAGGAGGAGAAGGATCCGGGGAACTACAGGCCAGTCAGCCTCACCTCAGTCCCTGGAAAAATCATGGAGCAGGTCCTCCAGGAATCAATTTTGAAGCACTTAGAGGAAAGTGATCAGGAACAGTCAGCATGGATTCACCAAGGGAAAGTCATGCCTGAGAATTTTGTGCAGGTAACACTCCCACCCTGTGGCCACACCCTGTCCCCTTCCCATCCGTGCCCCCAGCCGCCCTGTCCAGTGCCCACCCTGTCACCTGCCTGCCCACCCTCCTGCCCCGCCAAGTATCCCACCCAGCCTCTTCGGCACCCTGGCCCTGCCCGTCCTAGTGCCAAACGGGAGGCTGACTCACCATCGTAGAAGCCGGCTGCCAGGTGCTGGTGGGGCTTGGAAGGCATCCAGGAGAGGCTGAAGCACTGGCCACACTCAGATGAGTTCCCTGCCTGGATGGAGCCAACCTGCAGGGTGGCGATGCACTGCACCTGCGGGCGCCGAGGACACGACCTCAGTTAACAGGGTCCTGGCGCTAGCCAGCCCCTCCAGGCCCCCTCGCCAGCACCCAAACCCATGGCATCAGCCCCATGGGACCAGGCATCACGCAGCACCGTGAGCTGCACAACCACTAGTGCCCCGCGGGACCCAACTCCCACCCCCCTGCTAGGCTGGGCCCCCACATGGGGAAATGCCCTGTGCTGCTCCCATTCCACCTCCCGGCCCCACGCTCCCCAGGGGCCAGGAGCCCTGCTGGGGCTCAGCACTGGTGCCCCCTAGCGACCCAGATTCCACCTGCAGTCCTGGGCCACAGGGGCAGAGAGTGTGGTGGCATGGGCTGGGCCCAGCGTGCCTGCACCAGCAGACACTCACCTTGCAAATGGTGTGCTTTGGGAAGGGCCCACCTAGGAGGAAGGAGAAAGCAGGACAGTCAGAAAGGGCAGGAGCTGTGCCGAGGGCCAGCTGAGCTGGGTGAGGCTGCCCCACAGCCCAGGTGAAAGGTCCCAGTCCCTAAGGGTTCACACACTGTCCTGGGGCCTGGCAGCTTGGTTGGCCTGGTATGCGAGGGCTGGAGGAAGCGCTGTGCAGTGAGATGGACGGAGCCCGATCTGGTTGCCGAGCAAAGACGGAGAGGGGAGTTGATCGCGGGCGCGGGGTCCTAGCCCCTATCTGCAGAGAAAATCCCAACTGCATTGAAAAGCCCCTTGTAGCTGAGAAGAGCCCAAGAACCCACAGCGGGACACTGATGCCAGACGCATTCGTCCCCAGGGCTGACCAGGGAGGGTGTTGAATTGTCAGGACAAGGGTGGATTCTCCACCCAGTGAAGGTGTCACATCGAGCCTGGCTGCCCTCAATGCTGGGGGAAGCGGGTGAGGTCCCCCGGCCCTTGTTATATATATATGGAGATATCCTATCTCATAGAACTGGAAGGGACCCTGAACGGTCATTGAGTCCAGCCCCCTCCCTTCACTAGCAGGACCAAGTACTGATTTTTGCCCCAGATCCCTAAGAGGCCCCCTCAAGGATTGAACTCACAACCCTGGGTTTAGCAGGCCAATGCTTAAACCGCTGAGCTATCCATCCCCCCGGATCCGGCAGGTCACACTACATGGTCCCTTTGGCCATAGTCTATGAATCTAGGAGCTCTGCCTTCATCATTAGTCATTAGGCAGCCCCAATAGACAGGTCAGTGGCCAATCAGGCCAGTTACTCCAGGGCTGCGCAAGGCCTTTCACTGAGCTGGGCACAGTGCCTGGCCAGCTGGCTGGCTGGCTGGCCCGCAGAGCACTCGCAGGGCCTGCCCGCCCCTTTGGCAGGTTTGTGCATGCCCTTGGCGGGGCTCAAAGGCAGAGCAGCGGGACCCGCACCACTGGGCCAGCTGCCCAGGGAGCTGCCTATGCAGGGCACACAGGCTGGCACGGACCCTGCTCCTGAGACAGGGCTGGCTGGCGCAGTGGGGACCCCTAACTGAAGCCCCACCCTTGTGTCCAGAGCCTCTGCGCCCCTAGCCAGCTCTGAGAGGCAGCAGCTGGTAAGGATAGCAGGGCTCCCAGGGCTTCCCCTCCGTGGGACTCCTGGGCTCATTCTGCCAGTCAGCACAAGGGCACCGTGGGCACTCTGCTTGGAAGGATCCCTGTACCTTCTGGGACTAGTGGTGGAGGGGGTGTCCTGGATCTCCAGGATCTGTGCCATACCCAGCTTTTAACAGTTCCTTGGAGGAACCCCTTCTGTGTGCCGGATCAGCTGGGGGTGTG